ATATATATGATTGGCTGACTCTCACAAACAAGGTTGAGTAAAATATTTAGTGTACGATTCAGATAAAGTAAAAAGTATGCAAAATAACACCATACATTATTTTCAGAAAAAAGAGAATGTACACACAGGCAATACACACACGAGGCTTCATTCCCATCAGCTCAGGTATCATAGGAAGGCTGGGTGGTGGAGGGTGCTGCTGACAAGACCCTGCTGGCCCTGGCCTGGAGTTTCTGTAAAAGATCAAAGCTCTCCACTGCCCCTCATGCTGGTGAAGTAGGTACATGCGTGCAGACTCCCAGTGATTAAAATGCTTTGTGTATGGTGACAAAGGCCATCCCAGAATTTCCCACACAAAGCTCAGAAGCTATTCTGCCTCTCCAAAGCCATCACAGGGGTAAGAAGTAACCTCAATTTACTATCTCCAGTTCATCACCTGCTCTTTGGAGCTATTCGAAGTTTATACCTGCCATTGTGATAGAGGAGGAAGGACTCTGCATTTGGCTATTTCTCCCTTAAAACTGGAAGTGAGAACACAGGGGAGTGATTGTGGCAAGTTCTACCTGTCACTGCTGGTGTCTTGGTTCTGAGCAGTGACGTGGGCAGGGCTTCCCTCACACACCCATCAGAGGCCAGCTCCTGGGCAATCCCAGCAATGGAAACCTCAGGAAGTAACACTTTTGTGATTTAAATCAAAGGGCTATTTGAAGGCTACCTAGTGCTCTGACAGGAGAACACAGCAAGGAACTTACTGAGAGATCAATAACTGTCTTGATGGCCTTTTCTTTTCTCTTTATGAAGTCATCATCCTACAAGACAAAATAGAGATTAAACAAATGCCGTCTGAAGATTAAAACTGAACTGGACTGCTCAGAAATCTACATTACAAATTGACTTCTAATTACTACTTTGCCTGGAGAAGTCTCAATTTTCTAACAAATTGGAATATATTCTCCATGGGAAGAGGCTAGGACGTCTACAGATGGCTCCAATATAGATCCCTACAGCCAGTAAGAAAAAGGAGGGACATAAAGTATAGTGCTCAAGACAAGTGTTCTTCTCATTTCAAATCCTTGTAAGAGCTAAATCCTCAGGTAAGTTACCTAACCTTTAAGCCTCAGTTTCTCCATCTGTTAAATAGAGAAAACAGCATCTATCTCAGGGGGCTGTTGTGAGGATTAAAGAATAGAAGCCATATGATGTGCTGTGACTGACATGTAGTAAATATTCAATAGTTATGAGCTATTATTATAGTTGTAATTGTTATTAAATTGTTACTATAGAGATGTCCTAGGCAAGTGGTCTCTCAAAAAGCTTTATAAAACATATACTCTTGTTCTTGTAAATTAATAAAAATTCTAGATCAAACACCACGATTCAGAGAAAATGACAAAATTGTAGGGCTTCATGTTCAGCAGCCATTTAAAGAGGCAGTTCTAATGAACCAGGAGGCCTGGTTTCAATGTCGGGGCAAGACCAAGTAGGGACGTGGAGTACAGGGGAGCCTGAGCTGAGCTGCTCCTTCCTGCGGAGTCTCTAAGTGTGTCCTCAGGTTCTCAGTCGGACAAGAAAAGCAAAGCACAATACTGACCTCAGGGAGACTGTAGGTTTTCTGGAACTGGGATATAGAGTAGGAACGGATGTAGTCGCCCATTTCTTCTTTTGTTTCTATAGCTCGTTTCACCAGCCACTGGGGAAGAAAGTGAAAAAAACGTGAGTTGATAGGGACAAAATTCCACTGTGGTGGAAGGCCAACTCAGACGTGGCACAACTTGTGAACCCAAATCAGCACAGTTGAACAGACCAAGTGATAAGAAACTATCAACACATGCTGTCCTATAGGAAAAGCAATCAGCCAGATATCTGAGATGCTAAGATCCACTGGATGTAGTGCTGAGTACCAGTGCAGAGCTTTAAAGCCTTACTTCATATCCTCAGGCCTCAGTTTTCCTCTTTTGTAAAGGCAAGGATATCAGTTCTTTTTACCTCACAGAGCTAAAATGGAAGCAAATGAAATCACAAGCACTAGAATGCTCTGTAAATACCTGATGCACAAAACAAATATAGCTGTCCCCTCAACCTCCTGATCCCAGTAGCAGATCTTAACGTAAATCTCTTTCCTGTGCTGCTTGTACCACAGACCAGGCAAAGAACCACAAAGAACACTAGTATAACTCCTCATTTGATGGATGAAAAAAAGCCCAAAATATTCAGATTTGAGAATAGTGCGTACTGAGTACATAGCTGAAGGCATTGGGTTAGCTTGATACTAACAACATTCTCTCTCTTAATCCTCAAACATTATAAGGTACACAGTACTGGCTGAGTATTACAGAACCTGAAGCACAGAGAGACCACGTAATTTGCTCATTGATCTGTTGCTAGCAAGCTGTAAAGTCAGAGTCACAGCTTGGAGGCTCTTCCACATCAGAAGACTGGACAAATGGGCTTTATTAAATGCTTCCCAGCTCTGCTGGGCTGATATCCAGAAGTACCTGCTCTCTGCTCTTCATTTCTCTTAACTTAAAACTCCAGTTAATTAAAACACCTACCCCATCTACCCCCCAATCCCTGCCCAAAAAAACCTGTACAGATCCAGCCACTCTGGGTAAGAGTGTAAAGTGTAAAAAGAGCCTTTGCTTCTCCTCCCCTGCTCTTCATTCATTCTCTTTATCACTGAAGATCATGGAGGGGGATGCCACTAGCTCTCCAGAGAGAGCTGCTACATCTCAAAAGCAGTTTTGGTACAGTAGTTATGTTTCACCAAGAGCATAGCACACTTGGTGAGGTTTAGCTACCTAGGAAAGTAGACACATGGCACATAACATGGTGCTGCATGGTGCTCTCACAGGGATGAAAAGAGATGCTTGTTCACAAAGCGAAGCCAGCTCAAGTAAAGTGCATGTTTAGGAAGTAGCTGCCCAGGATAGGGGTGGCTGCAGATAACTATACGAGGAATATTTCTTTGCTGTTAGTATCTTCCATTTAGTTCTACCACTCCACCCCACCTCCAAACAATGACGTCAGGCACTAATTAAAATCCAGAAGTAGAGGCAGAAGATCAGACAGCATTCAGAACTACTGTAGCCCCTCATCTACACTCCCATTCCAATGTGACAGCTCAGGACAGCTAAGGGCCAATTAAGGCAGTTGAAATATTGCTCAAATCAATTTAGCTTTGCTTTCTTTTCAGTCAGGAGACTCAGTTTCTGCCTTCCATATCTGTTTCCTTTTCAGATCTACTTCCATTAATTCTAGATCTGCCCCGAGTTACTACCTGGCTGGAGCCTGGAGAGTGCGATCAGGTAAGGAAGAGAATGCCTGTTGAGTCATAGGATTCCCTTAGAGAACTGACAGCTCTGTTTTGGAGTTCCCGGCATGACAGGCTATGGAGCGAACCTCTTGGACAGCCAAGCTCTGCCACAGAGTGGCCCTAACACTCAAGAAACAACCTTCACAGGATTCAGACATCTGACATGAGAAAAAAGATATGACTCAGAATCACGAGTGGCTGGAAGTTAGATCTCTTTTTTTCTTGGCTGGCGTGCAGTGAGTGTTACTATAGCTTTGCTATAATGGTGTGAACATGGGTGGTGAGCCTAAACTCATGCAAGACAGACAACTAGGACAATGGTTCTGTTTCCAACTGCTGGCCTGTAATTATTCTTTCACTGGTCCCCAGAAAAACAGGAAAAAACTACGAGCACATGGTGAGCTTTTTATAAAGCTAAGTGTATTTAATTTGAGGGACTGCGCTTTTTTCTGAGACTGGGAATTAAAAGGCCATTCTTTAAGAAAATGATAGAGAAAGAAAAATAGTAGCCAGTTTTAAAATATGTCCTTGCCTGGCCAGCTAAAGGTAGCAACCCTGGATGAACCTCCATTTTTTCTTGAAAATTTTATAGGTCCATGAAATTAAGAAATCTGGTAACCATTTGCCTAGGCTCTCCCATCCAGAAGGCCTCCAGAGAGGAACCCCTCTAACATTCCACTCACAATGGGGAACATTCACAGACCCTCAAAATGCCCAAACTTACTATAGAAGACCACTTCCAATTCACCATCATCTCATATCTAGACTAGATTTTTTGCACCTCAAAGTTCTAACATAGCGTTAAATCTGGTCTAATCCCTAGAGATCCAGGCTTTGGGGGGAAAGGTAACCACTTCACAGTATGACGCTGGTGGAGGTTTCAGTAATAATCAACCCAGGGCCCCAATTTTCCATTTCCACAAAAGAATCAAGTAGCATCCCCCTGCATCAGAGACACAGAAAGTCCAACAAACATACCAATCAAATCTGAGTTAAAGTCTTGGCTTTAAATTTACAAATTTCATTTTACAAATTTACAAATTTCATGGCATTCAATTTGCAGTCGAGTGCAGGGGAATATTCAACATGTAACAGTAACAGATACACTTATAAAGCACTTACTAAAATGTGCCAGTCTTTCATCTAAGTGCTTTAGACATATTAACCTAATTCTCATCCTATCAGGTAGGTGCTATTATTATTTCTATTTAACAGACAAGAAGTTAGGTCATTTGCCCAAGGTCACACAGCTAGAAAGTGGCAGAGATGAGATGTGAACCCGGGAGGTCTCCAGAGTCTGTGCTCTTAACTCCTATACTACACGCATAATCTGAACACAGAACCAGGAGGCTTTTCTAGCAAGGGATGTGCAGCTTCCTTCTCAGGGGATGCATGAAGAGTGGAGTGGAAAACCACAGGCTTAGAGTTAGAGAGTTTAGACTGGAACCTCTTTTTGTCCACTCACTAGTTCTCTGCCCTTAAGCAAATCAATTACCCTCTCTGAGTCTCATCTTCCTCAAATGTAAGGAAATTACATTTCTCATTTTCCTCAAATACAAGAGATTATAATAGATGCTTCAAAGAACTCTAACAGGATCAGACAGAAAGTACTTTTCACACAGCAAACAACACACCTCAGTCCCTTTGCTCCTCCTCTCTTTGAGGTGCCTAAAAGGGGAAGCCCACACACAAGAACTGCACAGAA